TTGCAATTCTCGTGGATGCAGCATTATTTTGGGTCAGGTTGAAGTCGCGATATTTGATCCCCTCCACAAATCAGGACCACGTCACTTTGTTCAGGATTCAGCCTCTTCTTTCTCTCTCTACTGATGCTGCCAAACTTGCTGAGCATTTCCAGCATTGCCTTTACTTTTGCATTTTGGCTTCTGCAGTCCTATTTCAGTGTTCTAGTACTTCACCCTTGCCCCAAAACATATCTTTACAGCGTCTTCTCCAAGAGCACTTTATAGCCAAAATGCCCGTAAAGTGCATACAATCATCATATATCAACCGATCTGCACACAGCAATATCCAACAAAACACAATGCAGCACTCTCGCGGTCCTGCTGAGACCTCTGGCCTGGATTTTTTCAAGCTGCTGGTTTGGGGACCTGACCTAACAGCCTTCTGGCTTCGAGGTAAACCCCAACCAACTTTTCAGTGGTGCCCAAGGAGTTTACACTGTTCAGCTTTGATGCGCGGCTGATCATTGGAGACATCAGCACCAGATTGTTGGTGGTGTACTTTCACTGGGGAGGGCAAGCCAGCAGACTGAGGGAGAAAACACCAACAGGCCGAAATAGAGCGAGCCCCAATGATATCACTGTATGTCACTCAGGCCAAATGCTGCAAAGAATGTTGGGTCTGTCACTGTACTTCAGGGTTGGGGCTTCAATGTCGGTCTCAAGACAGCAGCACAACTGCCAAGGCAGGAGGGAATTCTCTCAAAAGTGCTGCCCGAGAGTGCGAAGGAGGTAGGTTCACTGAAGGTTTTTGAGAGGGGATCACACTACAATCTGAAAAGGAAGAATATGAGAGGTTACGGGCAAGTAGGTGGGGGAGTGGCACAAAAGGTGCACTGCTCATTCAGAGTCAGTACTGATCCAATGGGCTGGATGGCCCCCCACCTGAACTGTAAACACTGCATGATGAACACCAGCACTTACTGGAGTTACAGCTCCCTAATGAGCCCCTGCGGACTTGTCATCAGACTTTAAGAAGGATATAAAGGCCATAGAGACTAGTCAGAGGTGGTCTAAAGTAAGGGATGTTTTGCAGAGACACTATGAGGCATTTTTCACTGGGCTAAAAATATGAGAGACAGAGAATCGGTGGTCAACATGCAGAGTTACGAAAGGTGTCAATGAATTAGAATTAGGGACAGAGTTAGCAACTGGAGGGAATAAATTTAAAACTTAGCAACTAAGAAAGGAAAAGTTCAAATTTCTCATTAGAAAGTGATGGAAGCAGAGTACACATTCACTTTGGAAGAGCAGCAGATTAAACCCTGAAGCAGAATTCCAGGAAGGAGAGGATGGAGACAGGAAACGGGAGTCGTGGGGAGTGCTCAGAATAGTCAGGCTGAATGGGACTAGGATTGAGGGGCGGATTTACATGCACATGGGTTGAACGGCATCCTCCTGGACTTAAGACATTACTTGAAGCTACACACTGGTGCTGCTGATGCCTTTCCAACAATCTCAATCTGCCATATTACCAACATTGAGCAGTGCACAAAAGGGTGGAGGTTAGCACTGAAAAAGCACTTCATTTGTGCAGTAAGATTTTAGTATTCTGATAACTGCATTACTTCCAACGCTCTCAAACAGTTACACCTGGGCATGAGATTTCATTTGAAAGATCTGAATGAGCAAAGCAGATGTAACAGCTTGTAAAAGTTCTGGATAAAAACCAAGTCCCACTGACTTCACCCTCCACCATCTCTCCCCGCCAAAATGGCACCACAGATCTTTGCACTTAGTATTTCTATCATTTCTCCCACCCTCCCCCAACCTTTTCAAAGTTCACTTGAACCTGCTCCCATTGCCCTATCAGGTAGCATGTCCTGGATCACAACAACTCACCGTGTCAAAAAAAATTCTGCTCAGTACCCACCAATCCCAGATGTTTTTCTCTTCAATCCACGTCCACCTCTGGTGGCCAACTCTCCTGACAGTTGATTGAAACCGTGCGACCCTCCCTCCTCGCGATTTTGAATACCTCGATTTTCAATCTTCCCCATCATCATCTCTGTTCCAAGGGGAACAATCTCAGCAATCCCTCCTCGACTCTCCACAGGAACTGAAGCCCTTCATCCCTGGGGTCTTGCTCTGGGAACTCTCCCTCCACACCTTGTCCAAGGCTCAACATCCTTCTTAAAGTGTGACGCTGAGAACTGCACATGATCCTCCCGCTGAGGACTAACCAGGGATTCAGAAAGATTTAGCCTAGCGTCCTTGCATTTGAACTCTGCCTCTGCCAAGGATCTAAGTTTTTTTTTAAAAAAGACTTTTTGTTTTAAAATGCTTGCCCTGCCACCTTCAAAAAGCTCATGTTTGTACATTCCAAGGTCATTCATTCCTCAGGGCACAGTTGATGCAGAATTTTAACTTTTACACAAGTTATGACATCAGATTGCGAACCAAGCAGTTATGCCCCGTCTTAAATCTAGGTGGAAAGGTGATGTTGAACCACCTCAAGTCAATGTTATATCGCTCCATGGCAGTACCAGTGATCTGAACTGCTGCTTCACTGACATAAATTTTGTTTTGTGGGGGGAGCTTTTCCTGGTCTTTTTGGTGCACTTGCACCAATGCTTAGAAATCTCTAACAGCACTAGACATTGTAAACACTGGAAGGATGTTCCCAATGATCAGGAAGTCCAGACCGGGGGTGGGGGGGTCACAGTTTGAGGATACAGCGTAGGACTGAGATGAGGAGAAATGTCTTCACTCGAAGAGTGATGAACCTGTGGATTTCTCTGCCACAGAAAGCGGCTGAGACTAAAACAATAAATGTTTTCAAAGAGATTTAGATATAGTTCTTCAGGCTAAAGGGGTTAAAGGGTATGGGGGAGAAAGTGGGAACAGGATACTAAGTTGGATGATCAGCCATGATCCTATTGAATAGCAAAACAAACTCAAACCACTACCCCGTTCCTATTTTCTATATTTAATAGAATCTTGCTACAACACAAATACAGCCACGCCTCCACCTCCACCCCCACCCCCACCCCCAACCAGTCCTGTCCACAAACATCCACTTCTCTTGTTACAGGAATCAAAGTTGCTCCGTCAATGTCTGCCCTTTCAGATTTTGCTATGTCAACTGTACAGTGAAGTGGCAGACACCAAATACTACGTGGATATGAAGGTAAGTTTCAAATGAGACATCATGAAGTCGTTGATTAATCCTCCCACAAGGGCTGCTTTCACCATCACCACAAACCTGCACTCATCAACATTTCAATTTCCTACCCTCCCATTCAAAACAATCTCTCCAGGCACAAGCCAAGTCTGGAAGGAGACATTCTGGGATTGCACAGCTTCAAGTGGATTGACACCACAATTATCTAAAATGAAACCGTTCCAGTTGGCCAGTGCAACAACATGAGCCTACAGCAGCATTTAGCTTCACGTAGAAGTGAGTCTACAGCACAGAAAACAAGCTTATGCTGGTCTTAGTGCCCACATTAAACAGCCCAGTCTGCTAATCTTAACATTTAACCATAGAACATCTTCTACCACAATGTGACCGCTGTAGCTGAAGAAACAGTTTGGGTTTATGTACTACGTTCCAATACAGCAGCTTGTTTCGGTTTAGTTGCACTTCAGTCAGAAACTCCCTGTAAATTTAAGACTACATTTATGGCTGAACAGATTAGGCTGACACAGCCTGATCTGGAATTCTTCAATCTGCATACAAGCAATTAATTCTCCTCTCTGTGACTTCTTAACGCACAACCTCAGCAATGAACAGAGGCAGACAAATCAACAAAATAGGGCATTGATGAACCACAAATGGTTCTTAAGCAAAGTTCACTTGCTTTCCAGAGAATAACAGATATCCAGAAGTGAGCCGCAGGCTGGAATCTAACCAAAGGACATGGGGTCGCTTACATAATGAGTGGCATAGTGGCTCAGCAGTTAGCACTGCTTCCTCACAGCACCAGGGACCTAGGCTCCATTCCAGCTTTGGGTGACTGTCTGCGTGGAGTCTGCATGTTCTCCCCGTGTCTGTACCGGTTTCCTCCCACACTGCAAGGATGTGCTGGTTAGGTGCCTGGTAGGGTCTAGAGATTGTGTAGGCTAGGTGGATTATCCGTAGGAAATGCAGGGATAAGGTGGAGGCTAGGTTTAGGTAGGATGTTCTTCAGGTCAGTGTAGAACTGATGGGCCAAATGGCCTATTTCTGCACTGTAGGGATTCAATGATTCTAATAGCAGATACCCACGACCGAGTTACAGACTGTAACTTAATCACGAGGGGTTTTTTGGGGTTACGGTGGTCAGCAGTTTATACATAGAATAACAGACATGTGGGAGCAGGCTGAATCTATTCAATTGGATCTGGTAAAGCATCTGAAGCCAGCAGTTTCTCACCAACGGAAAGTGAGAACTAGTGCTGTGCTGTCCAATGCATTGTCTGAGGAAAATGCTGGGGGCTGCGTGCCCCACCAATCTTGGTTTTTTTTTTGTACTTTCCGTGTGTTCTGGCCGTGACATCAACAACTGTTGGACTGTGAAGGAGGATACCATTGCTGGTTTGTGTCAGCTGCTTGAGGTATTTGGGGATGACTGGAAGAGGACTGGACTGACGGCAGTCACCAAGCCTTGATGAACATAAGCAGCCCAATAATAAGTCAGACATGCATTTCTGTAGCACCCTTCCTGACTGCTGGACAGCTCAAAACCCTTCATGACCAGGCAAGCACTTCTGGAGTGTTGTCAATGTTGCAGTGTAGAAACAGTGGTCAATTTGTCCACACTAAGCTCCCACAATCAGCACTAAGTAAACGACAAGGAGAATCTGTCTGTGATGTTGATTTACAGGTGAATACTGTTCAGGACTCGAGAGAATTCTTTAAAATCGTGTCATGGGATCTTTTATCGCACAAATGCATATTCCCAGAGCAAAGCCATCACCTCATTTGCTGAGTTGAAAGCGAAGGTCCACCACTAAGTCCGTAGGCAGGATCCTCCTTGGTAATGGGCAGCATGTTTTCTGTCCCTCAACAAGTGGAGAAGGGGTTCACACTGATGCCCCAGTGGAGGAGGCTGCTGGTCAGAAGGAACTTTCTGAGAGACTTCCTGTGTTTTCCATTCTGTGATTCAAAAGAATGCATGCTGGCAGATCTTGCTCAAGAAGGCTATTCTATAAGAAACACTGAGAAGTTGATTGAAGCAGGTCATGCAGGAAGTGGTAAGTGAGGTGCTAGTTCAACTCCAGCAGCACTCACCTTACAGACTCACCAGTGTGTTTGCAGATCACACTGACAACAGATGCCGAGCAACAAGCATACTCCATCACTCAATCTCATCAGAATGCCCCAACTCTAACAGCTAAAAGCTTGAGAGATATTTATATCATGGCTACTCAAAAAACACATCCTCCAGGCCTTCTTAGCTCTTTAGGGCATGAGGGTAATGTACTGGAGAACATGTCAGTTGGAGTAGAAGCAGAGGATTGACACCATGATGTGGTGCTCAATTGCTTTTCTTCACTTTGTGTATTAGTAGCTGGGTACCCCAGTGGGATGAAACCAGGATAGTGTGGGAAAATGAGAGGCAGGCTTTCTGGGGAGCAAATACCAAGAAGCACTTTACCCCACATTAAACATCGGGGCAGGTTGGGATACCACCTTACCAGGACATCACTTTTTCCACAGTAAGGTAGACAAAGGAGGAGTAAATATAGGGACGTGGAACAGAGGTACAGATCAGCTATGACCTGTCAGAACAATGGACCAGGCACAAGTGTGGAAAGACAGCAGGGGGCTGGGGAGTTGAGAGCCAGGAGATAGGTGCAAAATGAGAATGTCACCAATGTCAGTAATGAGTAAAATAATGGAGAAAGGCTCTAGCCTGAGAGTCACCAGCATCCAAGGGAGATGTTGTCCCAGTGGTAAGGTCGCTGGACTGGTAATCCAGAGGCCCCCAGGTTAATACTGTGGGGACATGACCGCTGATGAAATTTAAATTCAATTAATGAATAGAAACGAAAGCTAGTGTCAGTGGTCCACTGTGACAACCATCATTAATTTGGTAGAAACCACAGCACTTATGGGGAAGGACATCTGCCATCCGTATCTGATCTGAGCTTACACGTTAACTGCAGACCCAGGTCAAAGAGGTTGATTCTTAACTGCCCTCTGAAATGGCCGAGTAAGCCATTCAGTTCACGGGGTCAGGAACATCAAATCACCCACACCCCACAAAAGATGTTAGCATTGGGATTGGAAGGAGCCTAAGGCATAGCTCATGATGGCCTAGATACTGAAATATACAAGTCCACCTAAAATTGTGCCACTAGAGTTATCGATAGCAAGGTGGGCGGTGAAGTAAGAAAGAGGATTGATAAGCAAGGCTAATTGAACCTGCACCACTACTCATTGAAGATGGGAACAAGACTTTAACTGCTCACTCTGCCTGACTGCCCTCACTGCACAGAATGGGGACTAACGGTGCTTCCTCGCAAGAGTGGACAGCTTCTAGCCATCAGGCAAGGTGCACATCACTCACTTTCCCCCAAATAGGAGCTCAATCGCTTAACGCTGAATCCTAGTCAGAGAAAGCATCAATTAAAGGAGAGGCCCAATTGTCAGACATGGAGGCTGCTGTAGTGCATTGTTGATATGTACCAGGGAGGTCACAAGTCAACGCACCGGTTGAGGCAATTCAGCCTGTCATTCTAGTGCTAGCTCTTCAGTTTGCTTCAACTCCATTTGCTTCCTAGCCTCTTTCTTTGATCTTACCAAATTCCCTTCTAAAAATCCAAACAGTTCCACCAGACACATTGCTCAGAAGAGATAGGAACTGGAGGGCTTTCTGCCCTCAAGCTTGCTTCATCACTAAATACAACCGTGGCTGATCTTCGTCCACAACTCCACTTTCCTGTCCAATCCCTCAATTTTGTTTGCACTCAAAGATTCGTCAAGTTCATTTCTGAATAGCCTCAGCAACTGAACATTCATAGGTCTTTGGGGTAGAGATCTCTAAGTACTCCCAGCGCAAAGAAATTTCTCACCCCTGCAGAAATTAAACAACTGGGACCTTTCATTCTAGAGTGCCCTACCCCCTCACTCTTTCTACGGTGATGTTCCAACAACAGTCAAGATCAGAGAAGCCAGAACTGTTCTACTTCAGACAACAGAAGGCTAGGAGTTTTGATCAAGGGGTTTAAAACTGTAAGGGGTATGAATAGAGTAAACTGCTCCCATTGCGAATGGAGAATCAGAGGGACACAAACTGAAGGTGATTGGTATAAGTATCATCAACACAAGGAGAAACATTTTCACACAGAGCGGGGTCAGGGTCTGGAATGTGCTGCCTAAGAGATTGGAGATGACAGGTTCAATTGAGTCTTTCAAGGCAGAATGGGATTATCTGAAGAGAAAATAGCTCAGGAATGGCAGCGGAATGGGACCAATTGAATTGCTCTTCAAGAGCAAGTACAGATTTGACCAGCTGAAAGGACTCCATCTCTATTGTAACCGTTAAACAGACCGCTGTCCATATGTGATATATTCCATTTAATTAAAACTCCACATGTACAACTGGATATGATATTTGCAATGTCTAAATTTAACATATATGACATACCAATAAACTACACTTTCCAGATTCATGACGACCACATACATAAAACACTTCAGATTTTGTGTATAATACACATGTAAAATATTCCACATACCATACTCCAGATTCAAGATAGTATACCATCCTCACTAGAATCCCAAGCATCACTCCTCATACTGTGTGTAACATATAAAAGATAAAGTCGCCGCTGTCCTACCAGACCATAAGGCTGCTCTCACAGACAGCACCATGTAATATTTGTAAATCAGTGCACCCGAAATCTTTTTCACAGTGCAATCCCATCTTAAGGCTTCCAAGCCAGAGCGAACCCTCAATGACAGCTGAAAGAGTTCGGAGTGGGGGGCTGAGAAAGTGAGGGCCAGTTAGAATAGGAACACAAGAGTTAAATCTCAATGTGAGCTCCCTCACAGCTACTGTTGCCTCAGAGTGTGCTATTCTGCTCTGGAAACGCTGTCATAGCTAACATAGAGCTCCATACCAATATAACCCAAATTTTCCAGTAATATACAACATATCTTGTATTTGATACAGAACATCAGAACCTATGTACTTGATATGAAACGCACACACTCGATGATAGCTTGTATATGATGACTGTACAGTCTCCCACTTTATACTCAGGCACAATGGTGATGTCCCTATCTCTGGGCCAGAAGGTCAGTGTTCAATTCCCACCTGTTCCAGAGGTGTGTAATAACACCAGAAATTGCTGGAAACACACAGGTCTCTCAGCAATTTCTGATTTTGTTTCTGATTGCCAGCATCACAGTTCTATTTTTTGTTTGTTTAGTGTGTGATAACATCCCACCCTAATAAAAATCCCACCTCAATTAAGCATGACGCAGTTCTGCAAGGGCTGTACACTCCTCCTTCCTCACACCTGTCTATTACCCTCTCTTCCTTTGCATCTACTCCTCCGTTACCCTGCTCCCTCAACCTTCTCACCCCCCACCATGTCCTCGAGGCCTGCCCTCATCCTTCTCTTCATAGCCAACACCTTGCCCTCTCAGAGACCCTCCATATCATACCATTCGCCTCAAATCTTACTCGCACCCTTGACATCCACCCGCAACCCCCCAAATAATTTCCCTTGTCCTCCTTGAGACCCTCCCTCATTGTGCCTTCCTACCCCATGTTCCTATTCCCTCATGAAAACCCTCCCCCATCCTCACTCAGGAGACCCTCCCTCACATCAACGCCTCTAGACACCCTTCATCAGACCCTCTGCCTTCCCCTAAATCAGCCCCTCTCCTGCCCCGCAGACATCCTTCCCCCTCAGCCCCTCATCTCTCTCCTTATCCTCAATCCAAACCCCTTACCCCTTCCCCCCTCCCCCCCCAACTCCTCACATCCTGCTTCCTCCTCCCCGCCCCTCAGTCCTCACTTTCCGCCTCCTTCCTTCCCTCAATTCTCCCACCAGTCCTCATCCCTGAACCCTTTCCATCCGCAGATCCCTCCTCCTAACCACACCTCCTCTCCCCGAGTCATCAGAAACTCATCCCTCACTCCTCACCCCTAAACCCCTCGCTCGGCCTCACACCACCTCCCCACACTCCACCTCACACCACCTCACTTCATCCCATCATCCTCTGCCCCACCCTCCCCCTCACACCACCGTTCCCCCCTCACTCCACTCCTCAA